TGGTCGGCCTTCACCATCAATCGAAACGGCGTTAAAAAGGAGCAAACGCCGAGGTCCAGCTCAGGCTATTCCATCACTGAAAGTCCGGTCAGATTCTGTGGGTCATTGGCCAGTGTTTGATAGTGCACGGCAGCGATGCAAACGCCCAAAGTGTACGAGCCAGACAGTAATCCAGTGCACAAAGTACAATGCTCATGTGTGCCTTAGCAAGACGAATAACTGCTTTAGAGCATTTCACGAGGAACACTGTTTCTCGTTATTTGACTTTTCATGACTTTTACGTAATGGATGTTGCAATTTGGATTGTGGACAGTAGGAATTGACTCATTGCTACATCATTAAACTATCTACCTATCACTGACTGGGCAGTTCGTCGAGTCATCGTTTTGCCTGTTTGTGCCTGATGTCATGTAATCAAAATAACTGTCTCAACCTTCTTAGCAGTTGTACGTTAGAGAAATCACAAATAATTTTTTCTAACAATGGCAGATCAATTCGGCATAAAGGGGTTAACCCGCCCGTGGCATTGACGTAGCAGATCGGACCATCGACTAGGTCTGGTGTGTCACTTTGTCGTCGAAACCGAATCAGCCGCCTGACCCATACACACTTCTACTGCCTTTACTGAAGGACGGAGACGATTCCGCTTGGCTACTCCCTTTCACCCTGTCTGGAGCAAGGGGGAAGTGCCTTGCGACTGGCGGTTTTCATTCCGACCCTTATAAACATCAAAAAGACATCTTATGCATATCACCGGTCTCGCCTCAATTACCCTTAGACTGCTGCGCTGCATCATAACTCGGCGGTTCACAGTTCATCGCGAAACATGATCACTATGCTGGGTTTCAAGTCGGCAGATATTGCATTCACTGTATTTTTACTTGTCACCAGGAACGTCACCATACTTGCAAAATATCTATCATGGTAATGTCCTTTGACTTGAAGCCTGCTTTTCATTCCGTTGGTCACGCTTGTATGTAATGATACTTGGCTTTGATGGGCGTGCTGAACGGTGTTTCTCTTCTTAATTCCATGTACTACCACTCAGAATTCTCTCCTCTGAAGTTGCCACCGCATACGGATTAGGTTAGGTTTGCTTTGTCTTACTTGCTGTTTTCTGCTTATCCTCAGTTATAGACTCTGTTCGTTAATTAACTTTCGTACGTGAACGACATGGCTCGTGTTGGGCTCAAGTGTCCCAGTTGACCACCCGTGTTCTGTCTCGTCTGACTTTAATGTTTTAGTCATTAGGTTAGATCAAATCAACTTCCAGGCCATTCCCTTCTTTCACGACTTTTTTCTTAGGTGTCGGCAGAAATCGACAGTTTAATGTGAACGGCTGTTTTCCCTTTTCCTTTGCTTAACCCGTTATATGATTTATTTTGTAAACTCCCTTTTATCTCCTTCAGTTCCGTCTGCTAGAACTTCTCGTTCGAGTCACATTGAATGATCCGAGTGCCGACGCCAGGTGCCTGGCACTTAGTGCCTTGGCTATCTATTGTGTTATCGAGCTAGTGCATTCTGAATCGAATCCAGCAAGTCCGCTCCCCCTTGATGGTCGTTCCGCCTCGTTTCCGATTGATGCCCTCGCCGTACTTCTGGGAATGATGCGTTTCTCGAATCGATCGATCGCGCTTGTTGCCGTAGACGCTGTCCGCATGCTCACTGGGTATTTCTATGCCTTCTCACAGCTTGCGCCTGGCCTGCCACTGCTTATCGTTCGAGTAAGTGTGTCTTATGAGTCATCTAGTCCCATGCATCCTGGTGTATTAGACCGGATGCACACATGATGCCACCCCTTATATGCAATGGGTTTTTCATGTTTCCACTTGGCATTTGCCTATGTTTTACTGGAGCCTTTTGAGAAGAAACCTTGATTGTTCGCAGGTGTATGGCGTTTCGCGCTAGCTCCTTCCTCATGGTTCCACCACTGAGATTTGATCATGCTAATTTTTGACCTGTGCATGGGACATGCACAGCAACCCGTTTCCCCTAACGTTGCTTGCATTTTACACCAAACTTAGGATTTGCTCTTCTGTTTGCGAACCACACATTTTATCCTATATACTGTTTGGACTTCTTGTTTGGTATTATATGCTTCTGTCATGGTGGTGTTTTTTTACCTCTCAACCGATTGATGTGACCATTTACTCCTTTCGACTGTTTGAGTTGGGGCAGGTTCTCTTTAGTTCTGACTTCTCAACGGTGTTGTCCAAGTTACTGGGTCACGGCATCGATGTTTAGATGCTTTACATCTTGGTAGATACTTGAGGGTCATTTTACAACACTAGTTGGTTAACCTTTATCTCTGTAGTCGGTCCAACTTGCCAACTCGAACGCAGTTTACTTTTTTCCAACTGTGTAGCCCTCTACATATTTCCTTTATATCACTGAGTAATCTTTCTTGATCTTATTTCATCCTATCCAGTCATTGACTTGGACTTTGAATTACATTTGGGATTCCTCGTATGACAGTGACATCTTCCAACTAGATAAGAGAGTAAGTTTTTACATTTTGGAGTTATATTTTCACACTTGTTTACGCCTGTTATTCTGATATCACGATCCAAACGGTAATCCACTTTTCAACTGAACCTTTACTCATTTATTTTATCATTTACTTTTCTTTCTACATCCCGGTAATCCACAACTTAACTTTTCTCGAAATTATCCCGTTGAGACACCTTGATCGGCTGCTCTCCAACGGAAAGTACTGATGCTGGCGTATTTGTGCATGCTGTTAGCAGACAATCCGTTGATGTTTAAAGATTTCTCCGCTGTTTCCTTCTAATTCTGACCGCCTTTTTGCGTTGGTCTGGATCGCATTTGTTCTCATTCAAAGCACGATTTCGCACGTAACTATTTTTTACTATGATCTACTGGAACTACGAAATACAACCAGGGCTATACCCAAATTCTGGTTGAACATTTTGTAATCTGGTCATCTGCAGTGTCGTAGGCGTGTGGACTGCTCGACAAGGGAGCCGATCCTGGTCAATCACAAGGCAATGAACGATAAGCCGCACTGTCACGCTTTTTAACCTGCGGGCCGCCACCTTTGCTAACCGTTCGGTGACACAAATCGCCGACTGCCGTTCTAACACTGAGGTATTCGGGGGAACGGAACGCTGCTGATTGTTCTAATAAAGGTGAAACGGCTGGGGAAAAGAGAACAGCAGATAGATTACCGACATGGATGTGGATGCCCACATCGTATTTTCCGTCTTCATCAGTTGCTGGAACAGCGTTACGAGTACAGCCGCATGTACTCCATCAGAGGAACTTCTGTCGTGAATATCATTGATATGCGCATCAAAATGTCGCACGTGAGACAACCGGTTGACCTAGGTTATACGAACGTTATTGTTTTGCTGTTTAACTATCGGGACGTGACACTAGCAACCCTGAATTAGCTCTGAGTAATGATCGTCCTCTCTAACATACACTTTACCCCATCAAGATGCGAAGCGCTCTTGCCACCTGCTAACACATCGACTCTTGACTTCTAGGGACTGGGATAGTTAACCAATTTGCCTACCTTGACAACCACGTCAGCACACGTATGGGCGCGTGGAAAACGAAAGTACTTAGCCTATTACAAAGCTTGAAACTGAACTCTTCGACGTGCAACACCAATGATACCAAGATAGAATTCCTCCTACCGTGAAGGTTCCTGTCTATAAAGCCACAGGGAGGGCTGTTCACCTCTATGTTAATGAGAATTGACTCTCTCTGGTACTGTGAAGCGTCTTCAAGATATTGCTCATCTTGGACTGCTGGCATCTGATGACAGCGGTACGTGCACCTCTGTAATGTAGACAGGCATGTACTAGGTGGTGCTAATTAGCTCGGTTTCTTTGTGCCAATTATCGGACCCATAGAGGCCTGTGGTTTGTGTACTTTAGGCCATCCGTAAAGTCGGGGAGGAAAGGATCTTACTGGAGTCAGCCGCTCCAGCGGTGCGCCTTCTATTGGGTTCATACGTTTCAGCTCCTACACTTCTGACGTTCTCATCTTACGCGGTTTTATCTTTCTGTACATTTTCACCTAAGATTTTTTCTGTCCTGCCAAACGGAATACACCTTAGAGATGTCAGATTTGTTCTTCAGTACTCATCCTGATCCTCTGTCGAGTGTGGAAATTATAACACCTGGATTCGATCACATTTTAATTTTGTGGTGGTACACGCATGATGAGATTTATCCAAACTCTGTTTTCTGCAATCTTGTGTTTTAGCAGTTTCATGTGTCTACTTTTCCGGATGCACTTCTTCAACCCCTTACCATGGAAAATTTCGCTTTTTGTCGGAGCTAAAAATACGTAAGGCTGGTAGATAAATTTAACCTGACAGTAGAGACTGAAGGCATTGACAAATGTAGTGGACACTGTCTGGCCTCCAAGACCGGAGTCCACGCGACTTATCTTGTGCTTGGCTCGAGCTTTAGCAGGTCATTGTTCGCAAATTATGCCAGTGGCGCGTTCTTTATCCTCCCCTTAGTCAGGTTGCTCGTTTACACTGTGTCTGCTTCCAAATTATCTGTTGTATGAAGCGAGGAGTAATGAAAGCAGCAGGGAAGCAATCTCATCGACCTCTCCTTATTGTTCCTTGATTACGAGCTGTTTGTGACCGTTTACCCCTGAGTGTTTACACTTTACACTAGTCCCTCTTCTCGTCATTCTTCGAGTCACCATGGTTGTGTGTTAGTAAAGCATCATTTCAGCTTGCTGATACCTTATCGCGGATGATGTGAATTGCGTCCCTTGATTGCCTTCTAATCAATTGGCTGCTTCGTTCACTTTCGGCGAATATTTTACACGCCCTCTTCTCGGACATGCCACGTCCTGAGAGTTTTCGCGACTAATTATCGACGTTTTTCCGACAAAAACTGGCGTTCCCTGCCGTTGTTTCTTTCTCCCACTTCTGATCCACTTTATTACCGACTAGTGATATATTACCCTGCATAAGTTCTTGATGCTGGAAATACTGAGGATATGTTAGGATGCGAATTGGTTGATGTGGTTTGCCAGGACAGCATCGCTCCATTCAGCAATCCTGAGGCTGTTAGCTCGGTGTATGGGTTCCATCCTTTGACATGCGCTTTGCTGCTTTAATCTGCGGCGTGCTGTTACATTAATTCAAATCCCCTGATAGCTTTTTGAGCCACCGCGATGAGAATTTGGAGGTATCTTGTTCACCTGCCCATTTTAGCACCTGTATCCACAGTAGCGAATGTTTTCCTCCTACCGTAAGATTCATTACCGCGCTTATGCTGTTCGCTCACTGTTGTCCAGGCCAATCCCGTTCAACCTTCTATGCGCTCACGCTGCTCTTGGTTTGCGTTACACCGAGTGAATTATGTCGTACGACTTATTCGTGCGTTCATGACCAACTCGCCTGGATGGCGCTGTATTGTCTTACTTTCCATTGCTTCCTCGCGTCACTTTCTTTCACCTGAACCACCAACAACCGTTTCAAAGTGAACAGCATTAGGCAACTACCGTCCATGAGATCTTTTTTTACCAACCTTCTCGTGTTAACCAGCAAGAGACCGCTTCTAGCATCTGCCGCACTATCAATGTGTTATTTTTCAACCTTAGTTATGAACTATTCTAAAACGTCCGCTCGGTGTATGGGATCAGTCGACGAGTGATACTCAGAAGGTTTTTCTCGTTCTTGTAGTTGTTTTCTGCCATTTCCAAAGCACGCGCACAGGAAAACAGCATCCTAATTCACCTTCGCTTGATATATTTGGTTCCAAACAGCAAAGCTTTCACGGTCCGTCTCTCTAGTGATGCCAAGTCACTCTCAGCAAATATACAGAGACTGCTGCCATAGGTTAGATCCAAGTGAACGTTTTCGTCATTCTAAATCGAAACTCGACTTGATCTAATATACAACTTCTAAAGCCTCAGCTTTTTTTGCTTTGCTTTCGCCACTGGTTGCCGTCCAGAAGCTATCAAAGCTTAAGCCTGTCAATCTGCGTTGCCCAAACTGGTCGACAAAAGCTACGAAAATTGTAGTGATCACGAACAACATGAATTTTTAAGTTTGCCTTCCGTATGCTCTAGTACGTTGCCCCGGTGGCCGTTTGAGAATGGTTGCGTATCATGTGGCAGGCGATTTCTTTAGCTATCTACTGATCACAGCCTCACCATCGTCACCACAGCTATCGAGCACCGAACAACAAGCTAATCCGTACTCAAACTGATCACGCGGCCACCCTCTTCGTGTGGCTAACATCAGTGCGAAAGGATTCTGACCATTCCGTGGTGCGTATCTTGCTAACACACATTTTTCTTACTTTTGCTGCATGCGTAACTCAAGCGCTTCTCGTTCATCAACCTTATTCGTCATCAGTGAAGCAGCGATATCATTTCAGTCGGCATCATCTGCCATCAGTACCATTGAGATGCGATAACCATATGCGCTTCTTGTTGGTACCCAGCTTAAACATGTTAATTTAAGAATACGTTTTTCTGCACCCAGAAAGAGTGAACTTCAACCAAAGAGGGGCATTACTAACCTTGCTCTCACCACCACACGACTAACATGAGGTTCATAGCCTGCAAACTCGAAAAGCGAAGTGATTGAAGTTCATCGTTCACGACTTCACTAAAGGTCCCTATGGAGGTGATCCGCGATGCACTGTACTGTGGAAGCAAGTAAATAATTAAATCTGTTTAACTACATCGGGATATAATCAAAAAAGTTATAAAATGTGTTTGCCATTTGTGGCAGTCGAGTCGTTCTTCAAGTTCTTACGCAGCATTTTAACATGTCACAGTTTCACCCTGCTCACAGATATAAAATGTCATCGCTAGTGTGCGACCGTTCTCTTAGTCGAATCGTGGTGAAGTGTAAATCTAACGAACTTACGAACTGCCTCACAAATTTGGCCTCCACGACTTGTTCTGGCAGACTTACAAGTATTTTTGACTCTTCGTCCGAAACACTGCGGGTGGGGAACTCGCGTTATATTTGGCACCACTCGCTTGTATCGGTGTCCTCGTTGCCGCTTGACGTTTGAAAGTAAAATAGCAGTTTTAACATGGTCAAGTCACCGTGATGTAATATGCGGTAGATCGCAATGAAATCGACTCGCAACCGATAATCAGACAAGTTGGAGGGGCCTAGTTTCTCGCAACGGTTTTCGTACGGTAATTTCGTAAACTCGAAATGAGCCTAGTAGCGACATGTTGAACCCGCTCCACCTCCTGTGCCTCGCTTCGGGTCATTTCACAGTGGGTGGGCGAGCCGTACTCTAGTATTAGTCTTACGATAGAAAGGGCGAGTGGCACCCTCTTCAGACAAAGTACAGAAACTGCGTTTGAGTGCCGGAAACATGTGCAGTCCGTTACAACAGGCTGTCATTATTGACCACGGACTTCAGTTCGCAACATGAAAGCACGCCTGGGTCCTTTACAAAAGGTGTGGGCTATATCGACTGAACGTCACCCTTCACTAGGCTCTCAGGTATCGATCTGCTTGGGTTGATCGGG